GAGGGGAGGGGGGGGAGCAAGGGGGTGGCAAGGGGAGGCTAAGAGGAAGGAGGAGTCCAGGGAAAGGCTGGATTGCCACACTTAAAACTTGGAAGATTTCACATGACTCAGCCAGCGATAATTCCAGCTCTGCTGAAGCTTTGCTGTCTGCTTTTGTCATTACCAGGGGGTAATGCGGGAGACTGATCTCGCCAAATCTCTTCCAGCCGCCAGGTGTGAAATGGACTCTGGCACGGTCACTGGGAAGGCACAGCCGAAGGAGGCATCTGCCGGGCCTTCACGCTCTCCAGCGTGCCTCCCTGTTTCCCAAGCCCAGGGGAGCCCACCTCTCCCACCCGCCACCAACACTGCGGGGAACCGATGGTAGCAGCCGCAGGGAATTCGGGCTCTGGGAAGATGTGGGGTTTCTGCTCAGCCTGAAGGACATGTCATTGCCGCACAAGCTTTTCACCAAGCTTTTGTAAGGCTCGTTCTCCCACGCGATCCCAGACAAAGGAGCACCCAGCCTGTCCGTCTCCTCTCTTTTGCTACAACAAACCTACAACGGGCCGAACCTCCCTTTCCTGAACCCCGGTAAAAGCTCGAGGAGCCTGCTGCCAAAGCATCTCCCCCAGGTTCAAAGCCAGGTCGTAGCAGCGTTAGAGTCTTTGCTGCCTGAGCTGTCACTTGCCAGGGCAGAGAGGACCTGTGCCCACTCCCACCATGTTCAGCAGTATGGGTTTGGGGGGCAGAGAAGTTTGTAGCAAGAACGGGGCCAAACATTGCTTCTTCATTTGGGCTAATTGGACAGCTGCCAAACCAATCAACAGATGGATACCCCCCTTCATCCTCGCCCCCCCCCCAAAAAAGGAGGAACACACTGACAGAGGCTGGATCTGAACTGCTCAGCTGTAGTCCAGTTCCAGTTCTGGTCTGCTTCATTAACCAAAGATGCAATAAGATTTTGTTTTGTTTTAAACGATTTACAATAGCAAAGAAAAGCGAATGGCAGAAGGAGCAGCACATGAGGTCATCAGCCCACCCCAGGAGGCAAGTGCAATATTGTTCCCTACGTGTGTTTTCCAGCACTTAGTCCAGCCTAGTTTCAAATCTTCCCAACTGATGAGGCTTCTACCAGATTTATTTTTCAGCAGTTCCAACAGGAACCAAAACGCTGCTACTGATTTTCTCTTTTTGCAAACGTTCAGTTCTATTTCACGTCTCAAGGTATCAGAGAAGCAGATCTCCAGACGTGCTGTTGCCGCAGGAGTGAGGGTTTTACTTGGGGAATTGTCTCCCGGGGAGAAAGCTTCCTCCGTGACCTGCCAGCGCAGCCCTCGCTCCGAGCCTCTGATATGCTCGCATTTCCATATTAGACGCGAGAACGTTCTGCTCTGTTTGACAGCAGTGCTGGCGCGGCCCTGTTTCCACTGAGATAGGGCTCTCTTTTGATCTCCGGTGCGCACACTGCGAGCACTGGGGATGGGGGAAGGGAAGGTTACTGCTTCCCCGCTGGAAGGGTTTCCAGCCCTACAGGTGTTTTTTCACTCAGTCAGAGAGAAGGAGTGATTTACTTGGCTGCCTCTGTTCTCCTTGCCTTGTCAGGCGCAGCCGCAGCGGCACGAGATGTGCCGCGGGCGTGGGGTCACTTCTCCTCTTCAAAAGGCTGTTTCGGAGACAATGCAGCTGTGCCCCGAGCAAGAGCTGCATCCAGGGCCAACGTGCCACGGAGAGGGGGAGAGTCCCCACCTTGAGCCGTCCACAGCAGAGTGCAGAAGGTGAAGGACCAGCACCCACACAAGGCATGCCACCGCGCCGGAGAAAAAGGACGGGAGCATCCCACTGCAGACCTGGCTGCTACCGGAGGACAGCGTGGGGCCGCACGGGCTACAAAACTCCAGTCAGTGGTCCTCCTTTCCCTTCCCACTCCTAAATCACAAACTGCACTCGCAGCACCTGGGTCCCAGCCAAGCCCGGGGCTCTAGCGCAATCTCACACTTCACAGCACTGCTCTACAGCAGTACTTCCCAAATTCCAGGTAACTAGCCACTAGGGTCCCTCCTGTTTGAAAATGGCTTGTCACATAATGCAGATCCTTCTGTTTCCAACCAGCTCCTTAGCACAGGGCTGGGAACACAGGGGTTGGTTTCCCTCTCGGCCCTCTGCGGTACCCATGCCGCCGGAGCGCTGCCTGACTGCCAGCAGGATGGGAAGTCTCCCGGGAGTTCTCAGCTGCAAGGTGTTCTCTCTAGGGCTTCAGACACAGAAACACTGGCTGTAGCCCCTCCTCTGACCCTCTTCTCATCGCAGGCAGTGGGCGGACAAAGGCCCCAAAAGCACCAAAGTCTCTGCCCCTCTTTGGCCCCTCACCGTTCTGATGGTGTTCCAGCATCAGCACAGCCTGGGCTTAAAATGCCTGCCGCAGTGTTGGAGAGAGCAGGGGCGCCCCAGTGATCTACCGTAATAAAAACCAGGTAACATGGGGGATTAGTAAAAGGCGCCACTCAGAATTTCCATTCTGTCTCACGCTCTTTCAAAGGACAGGGAAGGCCTTCTGAGGAAAAAGTGGGAGTAGAAAATGGAAGTTTGCCTTTATTCAGGGCTTCCTAGGAACGCCTCTCGTAATGGGTTGGGGGAATCCCCGAGGTTACTCAGAGTTAAGGAGCAGGATTTCGATCCCAAGCGCGTACTGCAAAGCCAAGGGCTGCTTCTCTGCCTCACGCTGCACTCACCCCACTCAAGTAAAGAAAAATGGTGGGAAGGCCAGAGGAAAGAAACGGAATGGGATCATTTGACCCTGCTGCTCCCATGGCAAAAACATCAATTTGTGCAAGTTCAGCCACTTTATTAGGGCAAATCCAAACGCAACCGTTTCGTTTCAGACGGCTTGGTTAAAGTTTAGCCCATTCTCAGCCAGGCCACACAGGTTGCTGTTACCTGGATTCAGCTCCTAAGCATGCACTGTCTTGGAATTACAATGGATACGGACTCAGCAGAACCAGCAGAGATGACAGCAGGTGTATCAAGAGTGTTACAGGAGTCTCACACCCGTATATAACAAATGCATTTCAGAATCTATAGAAGCATCCTGCTGGAACTTACCTGCACATCTACTAGAAACATTTCAGGGATAACAGGAATAGGGCAGATGAAACAATCGAGGAAAACAGGCAAAGAGTAGTGGTTTATAGGTTTCCTCTTTACACCCTTCAGAAAAGCCCAGTAAAAAGCTAAGGCGCTTTTACTTGTATTAAAGAGTTAACAGGCAGGAGAGGGTTACGCGAAACAGAAGATTTAGTATGTTTTAGGTAGTGTTAGCAATATTACGTTGACACTAGCATTCAACATCCTCTCAGAGTATGCTGCCTTTCAGATCATAATTTGGGGACAAGGAGTCAAGAAAAGACAATATACAGGAACATCATGTGAAATTAGGATGCAGTACAGGTCCCTACAATATATCTTTATATAGCGTAATATAAGGTATGTAGTTTAAGAAGGCTTCAGGACAAACTGCTGTAAAAAGTCCCCTTTGAGACTCCCTGGATTGGTTATTGAGAATATACACCTTGAAGAGTCTCAGCTGCTGGACTCCAAACCCATGAAACGGGATCTACCTTCGACAGCTAGTCTGCTTTTATTTATTTTAAGTTTGGTTTTTTTTTAGTAGCCAAAGAGTGCAGGTTAAGCACAGTGATCGAGATGGGTATTACTGACAGCTAATTAGTTTGAACTAAACAACAACGCCTTTAAGTGAAGGGCCTGCAAAACCTCATTTACACAACCTGGAGACAAACTCATTAAATGCAGGCTCCATTACCCACTCCACTTTGCTAGTTGTAAAGAAAGTTTAAAAATCATGTTTAAAGGAAAGAATCGTAAGACAAATCAGCAGATTAAAAAAAAAAAAAATCCCCTAAAAGAGAAACCCTCTGCAGATTCCATCTCTATAGGAACAGTGTCATAAATGCATAAGAAAGAACTAGGCAGCCCTATTCTCCCTGCTAGGCTTCTTTTTTTTCCCTTTAAAGGAACAGATGCCAACACGATAAGCCTGTGTGTATCTTTTATATTAAACACGTAATCAAGATATTCTGCCTGAAAAGTAGAAACACCCCAAAAATCCAACTCAAAAGCTGCAGCTTGCTTTCTTAATCGTAAAACAATTATTCTAATTAAGCGGCAATCCCTTTCTCGCGCTGCAAGCTTCCCTCCGATGAGATAAAGAAAGCACAGTGCACTGGTAGCCTCCTGCATGCACCCTCAGTGCCGGATACTTACAGCTCCCACACCGCAGCCTCTTTGCAACCCTCCCTTCCCTCCCTCCTTAATTTCAATTAAGTTCCACTCTTAAGAAAGGAGAAGAAAGGGGAAGGGGATGGGGGAGGGAGAAGCAGCACTTACCCTTTGGGGACTCACTTCTGGCTTTCTTGCTTTCTAAAGGACACTCACTGCTGCTGTTGGGAGAACATACTCTTCTCTTGCCTAAAATTTCATCTAGAAGAGAGATGAGAAACCTGAGTATCAGATAAGGTTGTACTTTCCTCTTTGCAGAAGCAACCAGAGAGACTTTGGTATTTTGCTTCTCTCTCTCTCTCACACACACACACATATATTACAAGCAGAGGAAAAAAAATGAAAGTAAGAAAAATCATCATCTTGAGAGCCTTGATCTGCTTTCCTAATCACGCAGTCCAAAAGCACATAATGACTATTCACACACTGATCAATGCAACGTTTTAAAGCTATAAATTCTGAATCCAGTTGATTTCCTTACTGAGTTTCATCATTTGTTCTGTTGCCTTTTGTCCCCCAGGTGTTTCCACTCCTTTCATGCCCTGATGCAAAGCAACTGGGGGAGAGAAAGGGGAGGAAAAAAACAACACAAAAAAAAAAAAAAGCACAACAGATCTCTGAATCTTCCTACCACAGTATCTCTCTCCCTCTCTCTCTCTCAATCTCTCTCTCTCTCTCAATCTCTCTCTCCCCCCCCTCTCCCCCCTCCTCCTTCAAAACCTCAAGGTCCTTAGCAATCTTCCCCCTCTAGATTGTACGGAAACACTCAAGCCTTTTGCATTACTGCAGCCCTACAAACCAACACAAAATATCTAATATACAATTACAGCGTCCCCGAACAGATTTAAAATCAATATCCTCCCATAATAATGCTGGGGAAACTGAAAGCATGATGTTGCATATGGGCAGGAAGGAAGAGACTGTTTGTCACTGCAAGCATCAAATTCTCATCTATCAAGGGCTTGTTAAAGATGCAGCATCTTAAAATAATAATAATTAAAAAAAAAAAATCTCACAAACAAGCACCATATTCAAGCGAGTATACGTTGCATCTGCCTGTGAGTCAACACGCAGGCAAAGCTTCTGCAATTTGCCCAAGCGCGTTGGTTAAGAAAGGTTACAAACCCCCTTGGTGCTATTTACAAGAACAACAAAATCATTTACGTTCCAGGGGAGGTTTTAAGCCAAGGAACTGTCCCTCGTACTCAGAATCACCCCCCGTTACTCTGAATTCAGCTAAGCGAGCCCAGGTTCCTGCCTTGGCACTGTATTTATCGAGAGATGCAGGGCACAGATCGGCGGCGTGCCAGTCACCGCGCCGAGGGCAGAGCCTGCCAGGCAATGCCTTTATCCAAAGAGCAATTCTGGAACTCTGCAAAGTTACAAGCGGCGTTTGAAGGTTTTAAAGAGCACAAGCTGCCTCCGATCTTATCTTGCCATGACCCTGTCACCCAGCCTGTTAACACAACTGGCACTCACAGACGGCCGCGGAGGCTTGCAACCATCCAGAACCAAAAGCAAAGTAAATACAACAAAACGGCGGCAATCGGAAAGCAGATGGGAAAGGACAGAGTCAGCCAATGACAGCGCTTCCGTTTTCTCAGCGCTTTGCATCCCAGGTGTCGAGTCGGCCTTTCAGTACAATTTGAATTTATCAATCCTCCTGCCTCAGTTTACCCTTCAAATAACTTCTCCCAAGCCCCAGAGGGTATCAGCTTGCCAAGCCAGCACCAAAGCTAGGAAGTACCTGGCCACACAGCACAAACAGAGTCACAAGCTCCCTCCCCACGGAACTCTTCATTCTTCATGTTGATTTTCCTGGAAACGTTAGTCTGATGCTGCAAACCCTCAGCGCCGGAGGCCAAGATCATATATCCTCCTCAGAAGTGTTCTCATCCGGGATTTGTGGCTTTGAAACAACAAAGTCCCGTTGCTCCGCTCGCCCCTCCCAGCCCGGGCAGGAGGCGGCAAAACCCAACGGGGTTTGTTCTTACGTACTTCGGGCAGAAGAGACTCCATGGAAGAACTGGTGACAGAAGCACCAGTTACATGTGACAGCAGTTAGAATATGAGCAGTAAAGATTCCTTGATTTCACAACTCTGCCAAGGCACCTCATTACCCTCCCATCACTCCTTCTCTCTTGCTATTCCACTCCCACCCCCAGCGCCCATCTGCCAGCAGACGTTGGCTCCGACTAGCGCCATGCCCCGCTCTGCCCAGACACGTCAGCAGGACAGGTTGCAGGTCCCATCTCACTCCCACTTGTGCAGGGGAAGACCAAGACAGTGCAGTAACCCCAAAGCGGCACCAACTCCATCAGACCATGGCCCACCGGTCCCCAAAACACCCACTTCTCAGCACACACGAAGTGAGCCGGCAGCCGCCATCACTGCCGTGCCATCGGTAAAGATCCCACATGTCCTTCAGTTGAGATTTGAACTCGGCCCTCCAGAGAGATCCCACATTAGCGTATTAATCTCTAGGATGATCTGCAGCATTTTCCTTCCAGCATCTCAGGTTCACATTGCACCAAAGCACCAAATCCCCCACACCGAGTTTGTATTTGGGTTGCCCCCCAGCAGTTTTTATCACAGTCAGATCACAGAATGAAAGTTTTCCACTTTTTTTCCCCACCTTTGTTTAAGGCAAAGTCCTGGGATGTGTCAGAGACTGCCTCCGCCCCCAGAAGTGTGGGGACTAAATCAACAAGATATAGAGTAAGCTAGGAAAAGGGAATAATTTTCATCAGTAGCCAGTACGGAGGCACAAAGATTTAACAATCCGCCCCAAATTTACGAAGTCAGTAGGAGAGCACAAGACTGAATACTAATCTTTTGGATTCCAGTCCAGTGTTACATGAAGTCATACCCACCTCTCAGCTTTCGGAGCTGCAAAGCAGGGAAGAGGCAAGTCATGTTTCCGTTAGTTACCTAATGACCTCACAGATTTTGGGGTACAACCGAAATGGCAATGTCTTTGTATTACAGCGCCAATCCTTTCCTCTCTACAACTTAAACCACCCACACAGCTTTGGCATACCACTTACCCCTGGTAAACACGTGCCCTTTTACAGGACCCTATACTCTAAATTCAACCCTTTACGTCCACGTGCCGCTCATCCAACCGTTCTTTGCGCTCGCACACAGAGAACCAGGACAGCGGTTGAAGGCACGGGGACGGGAGCATCCACAGTCCCTCTCCCCCTGACTTTGCAGCAGCAGCAAAACCAAATATGTTTTGCAAATGAGCTGGCAGTGCAGCTTCTGGATGTCTTACCACCCTCGCAGAGACGGGTTGTGCATTTAGAGTACATTGCTACTTATCGACCAGAACGCCAAAAGATAGCTGTTTGCTCAGGCCACGCACCTGCAAAAGGCAACACTCCACCCTAGGGCAGAGGATGGGGAGGGATAGTCGTGGGGGCTTTTTATTCCCCCTTCCCCCAAATCCCTGCTTTTCCCTGCCTTCTACAAAGCATTTCAGCTGAAAGGAAGCCAAATCAGGGCAGGTTTTTTTAATATTAAAGCTGAAAATGAAAGACATTATCAGTAGAACTGTGATGTTATGAAGCTAGGCCAGGCAATAATACAAGGAAGGAGTGCTAGAGGAAGCCCCAAGCATACTGATCGCTTACTGCCACCAATGCAACACAGCCCCGACCACACACACCCCCCACACACACAGGTCACCCATGCAGGTCCCCAGATCCTGGGTTACATTCAAGGCTCCTGCTAGCCTGACAAAGCAGGACAGAAAGTGATCCAGAGAGGTTTTTGGAAACAAAGTCAACTATTTTCCCCCAAGATCTAGAAATCAAAGTGGATTTCCCCCCCCCCCTCTTTCACGGGAAGAGAAATTCCAGCACTCACCTGCTACACTTCCACAGGGAATGAATAGAGACAGCCCAGGAAAGTAGGTCAGCTGGAAGAGGACAGCACTTCTGCCCCCATGCAGAAGCACCACCCAATGGCTTTGCAACCATAAGGAGAAAGGATGTGAGTATGACACCATAAAATGAGTTTGCGTAGAAGCCAGGGCAACGTGGGCTTAATCTAATCACGGCCCTCTTTGGACTAGACACACACTGATTAGAGGCCATGGGTGGAAATGTCACCTGGAAGTAACAGCGCTTTGTACTCCTGCGCTGCCTCTAATCCTCAGCCTCCCAGCACTCAGCAGAGCTGGGGGACTTAACAGTCATGTTCACCAACACATCTAAGAATCCCAAGCCTCATTATCAGCTTTGAAGAGAGGACTTGGGAGCCTAAGTCAGCTGGGAAGATTAGAAAACCTATCTCTAGGTTTCTCCAAAGAGAGAGGGACTTATCTCCACTCTTTACAAGGGAACCCGCAGCAGAGAAGATGCACCAAGGACACACGCTGCGTCAACGGCAGGGTGAGAACTGAGCCCGTGTCTCCATGACTGAGCACAGGGTTTCACCTGGAGAAGGGAAATGAACAAATATGAGATGGTCACAAAATTTTTGCCCTCCCAACGTCGTTAAGTGAGTGGACTACAGCGTGAGTCCCCATTACAGCCAAGGAACTGCACCAAGTTTTTCTGTACTGTGTTGTGCTACAGACACAACGGGAAGAGATCAAGACCTATCTCACGCTCCCTATCCATATCACGGGTTTTGCTCTGAAAGCTTCTTGGACCCAGAAGTCCTGAGTAAACAGAGAACTGAGCCAACTTACAAGGGAAATCACCGAGACTCGGATAGCCAACATCTAATGAGAAGCGAGTCCTTTTTTCACCTCCTTTCACATTATTTTAAGAGGAGGAAAATATCTTCCCTTGCTCTTAACTCCCCCATCAAACTTAAACCCTGGAGATGACAATTCCCACTGACCAGTCTGAAATGTCTTGGCAGCATCTCAGGTTATTCAGCTCTTTCCTCTCCTTTGGCACACACAGCCTGCCACCGGAGGAGCTGCTCTGCTCAAACAACTCCGGTGCTCCAGCTCCACCGCTCAAGCCTGTTCCAGTGCCCAACGTGACAGGTTTGCAGGGACCCCGGAGACTGACTTCCCCAGCGATGGGCTCGTGCCTTTGTAAGAAGCAGCACCAGCTTGCCGAGTCCCAGCAGGCCCAGAGCTGCTCCCAACAAAGGCTGGCGGACGAGGGGCCACGCAGTAGGCTGCGCGCAGCAGCGTGGAATCTGGCTGCACATTCAGTGGAACAAAGGGAGAGTGAAGC